ATGTTTCCATGTAATTTTTGGATCAGGATATCCTGCATAATGTAAAGTAATTGAAAGATGGTCAGTTTCTGCAACGAAGTGTCTTTCTTTCACGCCTGGCGCGAACCTAAAAATATTTTCAATAAAACTTCTTTAAAAAATTTTCAGCACCAAGGAGTGCAAGCATATTGTTCAGCATGTGCTTGATCTAAAGCTCGCTCCATGTAAGGGTCAAGAAGAGGTATAACTCGGCGGAACTTGTCTAAAACTGGTGGAGGTCTTGCCATTAGCCTCGATGGGGGTGATGGGGGAGATGGATCGCTAATTCCATAAATATTCTCGGCACGAACACGAAACTGGTAGCTTTTTCCCAGTTCAAGATTTCGAACTTTGCAGACAGGCTCTGGAATATTGTAGTCAAGTAGTTGCCAGTCTTTATCAGGCAATTCACGAAATTCGATAACATATGTAACTTGAGGGTATCTTGGAGGACTTCTCTTTGTTGGAATCCAGGAAAGGGTTAAATAATGGCCAGTAACTTCTCTACAATAATAAGAGATTAAGGATAAGTCAAATCTTTAAGCTTCTCACTTTATGAAAGGCCCTCTATCAGGGGGTTTTGGAATTGATTTCATTTGCCTTCTGAATCCGTATTCTTCCTATAAATAAAAATCTTTTTTAGTAAACATTGCTATTCCAGCGGACCGTTAAATATGGTGTAACGTCTTCAGAACCGTCAAATTTAATCTTGTCCATGAATGGAACTGTTACATCCAAAATGGCAGAACTTTGTGCCTGTCCATGACAGTTACGCGCAATAGCGACATATTCACCCGCATCTTCAGTACAAACATCTTGTATTAGAAGGGCATGCGAACCACCACCAGCAACCTGGATCTTGTGACGAGGGCCGGGGCATATCTTTTTTCCATTGTGATACCTAATAAAATTTTATCTGGGAAGTCTTTCTCAACTTCATACCAATCAACATCCGGCGGTGGATATCCAACCACAAGACAATCAAATATTGCAGGCCCTCCAGCTGAGATAAAGGCCCTCCAGCTGAGATAAAATTTTATTAGGTATCACAATGGAAAAAAGATATGCCCCGGCCCTCGTCACAAGATCCAGGTTGCTGGTGGTGGTTCGCATGCCCTTCTAATACAAGATGTTTGTACTGAAGATGCGGGTGAATATGTCGCTATTGCGCGTAACTGTCATGGACAGGCACAAAGTTCTGCCATTTTGGATGTAACAGTTCCATTCATGGACAAGATTAAATTTGACGGTTCTGAAGACGTTACACCATATTTAACGGTCCGCTGGAATAGCAATGTTTACTAAAAAAGATTTTTATTTATAGGAAGAATACGGATTCAGAAGGCAAATGAAATCAATTCCAAAACCCCCTGATAGAGGGCCTTTCATAAAGTGAGAAGCTTAAAGATTTGACTTATCCTTAATCTCTTATTATTGTAGAGAAGTTACTGGCCATTATTTAACCCTTTCCTGGATTCCAACAAAGAGAAGTCCTCCAAGATACCCTCAAGTTACATATGTTATCGAATTTCGTGAATTGCCTGATAAAGACTGGCAACTACTTGACTACAATATTCCAGAGCCTGTCTGCAAAGTTCGAAATCTTGAACTGGGAAAAAGCTACCAGTTTCGTGTTCGTGCCGAGAATATTTATGGAATTAGCGATCCATCTCCCCCATCACCCCCATCGAGGCTAATGGCAAGACCTCCACCAGTTTTAGACAAGTTCCGCCGAGTTATACCTCTTCTTGACCCTTACATGGAGCGAGCTTTAGATCAAGCACATGCTGAACAATATGCTTGCACTCCTTGGTGCTGAAAATTTTTTAAAGAAGTTTTATTGAAAATATTTTTAGGTTCGCGCCAGGCGTGAAAGAAAGACACTTCGTTGCAGAAACTGACCATCTTTCAATTACTTTACATTATGCAGGATATCCTGATCCAAAAATTACATGGAAACATAGAGGTTGGGATATTGATGCCTCCGGGCCAACCTCAAACATTCGGTGATTTTTTGCTTAAAAAATAATATTTCTGAATACTTCCAGTATTTCCTCACATGCTGGTGCTGAGACTACCATCACATTCCTAGGCTTTCAAAAGTCAAATGCTGGGCAATATACCTGTGTGGCTGAGAACCAGTATGGAAAAGCTGAACAAAATTTACTTGTTGATGTTGCTAGTGAGTTTAAGATAATGATAAGCTTTATCAGTTGAAACTTTTAGCCCGCCCAAAATTCACTCAACCTTTATCAAATCGGGATTACACTTCTGATAAGCCATTAAGGCTAAATGTTCGTGTAGAAGGCAATCCTGTGCCAGAGGTTAAATGGCTTAAGGTGCATAAATATTGGTTTTATCCCCCTAAATTTTAAATATTTGATCAAAGGATTGGCGGCCAGTTGCCGAATCTTCACGCGTTCATCTGATTCAAGAAGATTCGAATTTGCGTACACTGCTTATTGATCAACCCATTTGGAGCGATTCCGGCATTTATACGTAAAATTTTTAAATAATTTATTCACGAAAAATAGGAGCCCTTGTCGCTATTGTACCCTTCATATTGTACTTCTCTAATGAGATTATTTGTTCCTGAGAAATCTTTAGATTTCTGGAGCCGAAAGCGATATCCAACTTTCTGGATATCCGGGTTCGACATCCTTAGAACTCCCAACCCTACTCTCTGATAAAGACAGCGTCCTATAGAAAAATAAACTAAATTTATTTACAGCTGTACTGCCTTCAACGACGCAGGTCAAGCAGTTACTTCTTGTACTATTACTGTAGAAGGTTATCCAAATATTTTTTAAAAATAAATTTAATCTACAGCTTCTTGAATATCATAAATATCTCGAAGAGGTCCGCGCTCCAATTTTATAGATTTTCGAAAGTCTTTTAGTTTGAAATCTTTCAAAAAGTCATTTTCGACTGTTAAATAAATTAAATTTATTTTTAAAAAATATTTGGATAACCTTCTACAGTAATAGTACAAGAAGTAACTGCTTGACCTGCGTCGTTGAAGGCAGTACAGCTGTAAATAAATTTAGTTTATTTTTCTATAGGACGCTGTCTTTATCAGAGAGTAGGGTTGGGAGTTCTAAGGATGTCGAACCCGGATATCCAGAAAGTTGGATATCGCTTTCGGCTCCAGAAATCTAAAGATTTCTCAGGAACAAATAATCTCATTAGAGAAGTACAATATGAAGGGTACAATAGCGACAAGGGCTCCTATTTTTCGTGAATAAATTATTTAAAAATTTTACGTATAAATGCCGGAATCGCTCCAAATGGGTTGATCAATAAGCAGTGTACGCAAATTCGAATCTTCTTGAATCAGATGAACGCGTGAAGATTCGGCAACTGGCCGCCAATCCTTTGATCAAATATTTAAAATTTAGGGGGATAAAACCAATATTTATGCACCTTAAGCCATTTAACCTCTGGCACAGGATTGCCTTCTACACGAACATTTAGCCTTAATGGCTTATCAGAAGTGTAATCCCGATTTGATAAAGGTTGAGTGAATTTTGGGCGGGCTAAAAGTTTCAACTGATAAAGCTTATCATTATCTTAAACTCACTAGCAACATCAACAAGTAAATTTTGTTCAGCTTTTCCATACTGGTTCTCAGCCACACAGGTATATTGCCCAGCATTTGACTTTTGAAAGCCTAGGAATGTGATGGTAGTCTCAGCACCAGCATGTGAGGAAATACTGGAAGTATTCAGAAATATTATTTTTTAAGCAAAAAATCACCGAATGTTTGAGGTTGGCCCGGAGGCATCAATATCCCAACCTCTATGTTTCCATGTAATTTTTGGATCAGGATATCCTGCATAATGTAAAGTAATTGAAAGATGGTCAGTTTCTGCAACGAAGTGTCTTTCTTTCACGCCTGGCGCGAACCTAAAAATATTTTCAATAAAACTTCTTTAAAAAATTTTCAGCACCAAGGAGTGCAAGCATATTGTTCAGCATGTGCTTGATCTAAAGCTCGCTCCATGTAAGGGTCAAGAAGAGGTATAACTCGGCGGAACTTGTCTAAAACTGGTGGAGGTCTTGCCATTAGCCTCGATGGGGGTGATGGGGGAGATGGATCGCTAATTCCATAAATATTCTCGGCACGAACACGAAACTGGTAGCTTTTTCCCAGTTCAAGATTTCGAACTTTGCAGACAGGCTCTGGAATATTGTAGTCAAGTAGTTGCCAGTCTTTATCAGGCAATTCACGAAATTCGATAACATATGTAACTTGAGGGTATCTTGGAGGACTTCTCTTTGTTGGAATCCAGGAAAGGGTTAAATAATGGCCAGTAACTTCTCTACAATAATAAGAGATTAAGGATAAGTCAAATCTTTAAGCTTCTCACTTTATGAAAGGCCCTCTATCAGGGGGTTTTGGAATTGATTTCATTTGCCTTCTGAATCCGTATTCTTCCTATAAATAAAAATCTTTTTTAGTAAACATTGCTATTCCAGCGGACCGTTAAATATGGTGTAACGTCTTCAGAACCGTCAAATTTAATCTTGTCCATGAATGGAACTGTTACATCCAAAATGGCAGAACTTTGTGCCTGTCCATGACAGTTACGCGCAATAGCGACATATTCACCCGCATCTTCAGTACAAACATCTTGTATTAGAAGGGCATGCGAACCACCACCAGCAACCTGGATCTTGTGACGAGGGCCGGGGCATATCTTTTTTCCATTGTGATACCTAATAAAATTTTATCTGGGAAGTCTTTCTCAACTTCATACCAATCAACATCCGGCGGTGGATATCCAACCACAAGACAATCAAATATTGCAGGCCCTCCAGCTGACCAGAAGCCGAGAATTAGGCCGTAAGGATTCCTTAAAGTTCTTTACTTAAACTTAGTTTTAGTGGTCTGCATAATCAAAGCATACATCAAGGAAGCCCTCTCGAATGGCAAGTTGCCGTTCTGGGAGTGCCTACGCCAAGTGTTGAATGGCTTAAGGATGGTAAACCTTTGGCAGAAGCTGCTGGCGCACCTGACTCGAGGATAAGTATTTTCCAAGATGAGCGAGGCCTTCATCATTTGGTTGGAACTTATACCGATTCCTCTATACAATTAACTCTCTTCAGGTAATTGTAAATGTTCAACCAGACGATGCCGGAGATTATTCAGTTGTTGCAAAAAATCCACTTGGAGAGGTTGTCTCCACAGGCTCCTTAAGTGTCATTCGACCTCGTGTTGTTGAAGGAGAAGAAGAGGAAGGACGTGGAGCTATGCCATTCCCACCTGGCTTTATTAGACAACTCAAGAACAAACATGTATTCGTTAAAATGCCTGCAATATTTGATTGTCTTGTGGTTGGATATCCACCGCCGGATGTTGATTGGTATGAAGTTGAGAAAGACTTCCCAGATAAAATTTTATTAGGTATCACAATGGAAAAAAGATATGCCCCGGCCCTCGTCACAAGATCCAGGTTGCTGGTGGTGGTTCGCATGCCCTTCTAATACAAGATGTTTGTACTGAAGATGCGGGTGAATATGTCGCTATTGCGCGTAACTGTCATGGACAGGCACAAAGTTCTGCCATTTTGGATGTAACAGTTCCATTCATGGACAAGATTAAATTTGACGGTTCTGAAGACGTTACACCATATTTAACGGTCCGCTGGAATAGCAATGTTTACTAAAAAAGATTTTTATTTATAGGAAGAATACGGATTCAGAAGGCAAATGAAATCAATTCCAACACCCCCTGATAGAGGGCCTTTCATAAAGTGAGAAGCTTAAAGATTTGACTTATCCTTAATCTCTTATTATTGTAGAGAAGTTACTGGCCATTATTTAACCCTTTCCTGGATTCCAACAAAGAGAAGTCCTCCAAGATACCCTCAAGTTACATATGTTATCGAATTTCGTGAATTGCCTGATAAAGACTGGCAACTACTTGACTACAATATTCCAGAGCCTGTCTGCAAAGTTCGAAATCTTGAACTGGGAAAAAGCTACCAGTTTCGTGTTCGTGCCGAGAATATTTATGGAATTAGCGATCCATCTCCCCCATCACCCCCATCGAGGCTAATGGCAAGACCTCCACCAGTTTTAGACAAGTTCCGCCGAGTTATACCTCTTCTTGACCCTTACATGGAGCGAGCTTTAGATCAAGCACATGCTGAACAATATGCTTGCACTCCTTGGTGCTGAAAATTTTTTAAAGAAGTTTTATTGAAAATATTTTTAGGTTCGCGCCAGGCGTGAAAGAAAGACACTTCGTTGCAGAAACTGACCATCTTTCAATTACTTTACATTATGCAGGATATCCTGATCCAAAAATTACATGGAAACATAGAGGTTGGGATATTGATGCCTCCGGGCCAACCTCAAACATTCGGTGATTTTTTGCTTAAAAAATAATATTTCTGAATACTTCCAGTATTTCCTCACATGCTGGTGCTGAGACTACCATCACATTCCTAGGCTTTCAAAAGTCAAATGCTGGGCAATATACCTGTGTGGCTGAGAACCAGTATGGAAAAGCTGAACAAAATTTACTTGTTGATGTTGCTAGTGAGTTTAAGATAATGATAAGCTTTATCAGTTGAAACTTTTAGCCCGCCCAAAATTCACTCAACCTTTATCAAATCGGGATTACACTTCTGATAAGCCATTAAGGCTAAATGTTCGTGTAGAAGGCAATCCTGTGCCAGAGGTTAAATGGCTTAAGGTGCATAAATATTGGTTTTATCCCCCAAAATTTTAAATATTTGATCAAATATTGGTTTTATCCCCCTAAATTTTAAATATTTGATCAAAGGATTGGCGGCCAGTTGCCGAATCTTCACGCGTTCATCTGATTCAAGAAGATTCGAATTTGCGTACACTGCTTATTGATCAACCCATTTGGAGCGATTCCGGCATTTATACGTAAAATTTTTAAATAATTTATTCACGAAAAATAGGAGCCCTTGTCGCTATTGTACCCTTCATATTGTACTTCTCTAATGAGATTATTTGTTCCTGAGAAATCTTTAGATTTCTGGAGCCGAAAGCGATATCCAACTTTCTGGATATCCGGGTTCGACATCCTTAGAACTCCCAACCCTACTCTCTGATAAAGACAGCGTCCTATAGAAAAATAAACTAAATTTATTTACAGCTGTACTGCCTTCAACGACGCAGGTCAAGCAGTTACTTCTTGTACTATTACTGTAGAAGGTTATCCAAATATTTTTTAAAAATAAATTTAATTTATTTAACAGTCGAAAATGACTTTTTGAAAGATTTCAAACTAAAAGACTTTCGAAAATCTATAAAATTGGAGCGCGGACCTCTTCGAGATATTTATGATATTCAAGAAGCTGTAGATTAAATTTATTTTTAAAAAATATTTGGATAACCTTCTACAGTAATAGTACAAGAAGTAACTGCTTGACCTGCGTCGTTGAAGGCAGTACAGCTGTAAATAAATTTAGTTTATTTTTCTATAGGACGCTGTCTTTATCAGAGAGTAGGGTTGGGAGTTCTAAGGATGTCGAACCCGGATATCCAGAAAGTTGGATATCGCTTTCGGCTCCAGAAATCTAAAGATTTCTCAGGAACAAATAATCTCATTAGAGAAGTACAATATGAAGGGTACAATAGCGACAAGGGCTCCTATTTTTCGTGAATAAATTATTTAAAAATTTTACGTATAAATGCCGGAATCGCTCCAAATGGGTTGATCAATAAGCAGTGTACGCAAATTCGAATCTTCTTGAATCAGATGAACGCGTGAAGATTCGGCAACTGGCCGCCAATCCTTTGATCAAATATTTAAAATTTAGGGGGATAAAACCAATATTTGATCAAATATTTAAAATTTAGGGGGATAAAACCAATATTTATGCACCTTAAGCCATTTAACCTCTGGCACAGGATTGCCTTCTACACGAACATTTAGCCTTAATGGCTTATCAGAAGTGTAATCCCGATTTGATAAAGGTTGAGTGAATTTTGGGCGGGCTAAAAGTTTCAACTGATAAAGCTTATCATTATCTTAAACTCACTAGCAACATCAACAAGTAAATTTTGTTCAGCTTTTCCATACTGGTTCTCAGCCACACAGGTATATTGCCCAGCATTTGACTTTTGAAAGCCTAGGAATGTGATGGTAGTCTCAGCACCAGCATGTGAGGAAATACTGGAAGTATTCAGAAATATTATTTTTTAAGCAAAAAATCACCGAATGTTTGAGGTTGGCCCGGAGGCATCAATATCCCAACCTCTATGTTTCCATGTAATTTTTGGATCAGGATATCCTGCATAATGTAAAGTAATTGAAAGATGGTCAGTTTCTGCAACGAAGTGTCTTTCTTTCACGCCTGGCGCGAACCTAAAAATATTTTCAATAAAACTTCTTTAAAAAATTTTCAGCACCAAGGAGTGCAAGCATATTGTTCAGCATGTGCTTGATCTAAAGCTCGCTCCATGTAAGGGTCAAGAAGAGGTATAACTCGGCGGAACTTGTCTAAAACTGGTGGAGGTCTTGCCATTAGCCTCGATGGGGGTGATGGGGGAGATGGATCGCTAATTCCATAAATATTCTCGGCACGAACACGAAACTGGTAGCTTTTTCCCAGTTCAAGATTTCGAACTTTGCAGACAGGCTCTGGAATATTGTAGTCAAGTAGTTGCCAGTCTTTATCAGGCAATTCACGAAATTCGATAACATATGTAACTTGAGGGTATCTTGGAGGACTTCTCTTTGTTGGAATCCAGGAAAGGGTTAAATAATGGCCAGTAACTTCTCTACAATAATAAGAGATTAAGGATAAGTCAAATCTTTAAGCTTCTCACTTTATGAAAGGCCCTCTATCAGGGGGTGTTGGAATTGATTTCATTTGCCTTCTGAATCCGTATTCTTCCTATAAATAAAAATCTTTTTTAGTAAACATTGCTATTCCAGCGGACCGTTAAATATGGTGTAACGTCTTCAGAACCGTCAAATTTAATCTTGTCCATGAATGGAACTGTTACATCCAAAATGGCAGAACTTTGTGCCTGTCCATGACAGTTACGCGCAATAGCGACATATTCACCCGCATCTTCAGTACAAACATCTTGTATTAGAAGGGCATGCGAACCACCACCAGCAACCTGGATCTTGTGACGAGGGCCGGGGCATATCTTTTTTCCATTGTGATACCTAATAAAATTTTATCTGGGAAGTCTTTCTCAACTTCATACCAATCAACATCCGGCGGTGGATATCCAACCACAAGACAATCAAATATTGCAGGCCCTCCAGCTGACCAGAAGCCGAGAATTAGGCCGTAAGGATTCCTTAAAGTTCTTTACTTAAACTTAGTTTTAGTGGTCTGCATAATCAAAGCATACATCAAGGAAGCCCTCTCGAATGGCAAGTTGCCGTTCTGGGAGTGCCTACGCCAAGTGTTGAATGGCTTAAGGATGGTAAACCTTTGGCAGAAGCTGCTGGCGCACCTGACTCGAGGATAAGTATTTTCCAAGATGAGCGAGGCCTTCATCATTTGGTTGGAACTTATACCGATTCCTCTATACAATTAACTCTCTTCAGGTAATTGTAAATGTTCAACCAGACGATGCCGGAGATTATTCAGTTGTTGCAAAAAATCCACTTGGAGAGGTTGTCTCCACAGGCTCCTTAAGTGTCATTCGACCTCGTGTTGTTGAAGGAGAAGAAGAGGAAGGACGTGGAGCTATGCCATTCCCACCTGGCTTTATTAGACAACTCAAGAACAAACATGTATTCGTTAAAATGCCTGCAATATTTGATTGTCTTGTGGTTGGATATCCACCGCCGGATGTTGATTGGTATGAAGTTGAGAAAGACTTCCCAGATAAAATTTTATTAGGTATCACAATGGAAAAAAGATATGCCCCGGCCCTCGTCACAAGATCCAGGTTGCTGGTGGTGGTTCGCATGCCCTTCTAATACAAGATGTTTGTACTGAAGATGCGGGTGAATATGTCGCTATTGCGCGTAACTGTCATGGACAGGCACAAAGTTCTGCCATTTTGGATGTAACAGTTCCATTCATGGACAAGATTAAATTTGACGGTTCTGAAGACGTTACACCATATTTAACGGTCCGCTGGAATAGCAATGTTTACTAAAAAAGATTTTTATTTATAGGAAGAATACGGATTCAGAAGGCAAATGAAATCAATTCCAACACCCCCTGATAGAGGGCCTTTCATAAAGTGAGAAGCTTAAAGATTTGACTTATCCTTAATCTCTTATTATTGTAGAGAAGTTACTGGCCATTATTTAACCCTTTCCTGGATTCCAACAAAGAGAAGTCCTCCAAGATACCCTCAAGTTACATATGTTATCGAATTTCGTGAATTGCCTGATAAAGACTGGCAACTACTTGACTACAATATTCCAGAGCCTGTCTGCAAAGTTCGAAATCTTGAACTGGGAAAAAGCTACCAGTTTCGTGTTCGTGCCGAGAATATTTATGGAATTAGCGATCCATCTCCCCCATCACCCCCATCGAGGCTAATGGCAAGACCTCCACCAGTTTTAGACAAGTTCCGCCGAGTTATACCTCTTCTTGACCCTTACATGGAGCGAGCTTTAGATCAAGCACATGCTGAACAATATGCTTGCACTCCTTGGTGCTGAAAATTTTTTAAAGAAGTATCTAAAGCTCGCTCTAAAGCTCGCTCCATGTAAGGGTCAAGAAGAGGTATAACTCGGCGGAACTTGTCTAAAACTGGTGGAGGTCTTGCCATTAGCCTCGATGGGGGTGATGGGGGAGATGGATCGCTAATTCCATAAATATTCTCGGCACGAACACGAAACTGGTAGCTTTTTCCCAGTTCAAGATTTCGAACTTTGCAGACAGGCTCTGGAATATTGTAGTCAAGTAGTTGCCAGTCTTTATCAGGCAATTCACGAAATTCGATAACATATGTAACTTGAGGGTATCTTGGAGGACTTCTCTTTGTTGGAATCCAGGAAAGGGTTAAATAATGGCCAGTAACTTCTCTACAATAATAAGAGATTAAGGATAAGTCAAATCTTTAAGCTTCTCACTTTATGAAAGGCCCTCTATCAGGGGGTGTTGGAATTGATTTCATTTGCCTTCTGAATCCGTATTCTTCCTATAAATAAAAATCTTTTTTAGTAAACATTGCTATTCCAGCGGACCGTTAAATATGGTGTAACGTCTTCAGAACCGTCAAATTTAATCTTGTCCATGAATGGAACTGTTACATCCAAAATGGCAGAACTTTGTGCCTGTCCATGACAGTTACGCGCAATAGCGACATATTCACCCGCATCTTCAGTACAAACATCTTGTATTAGAAGGGCATGCGAACCACCACCAGCAACCTGGATCTTGTGACGAGGGCCGGGGCATATCTTTTTTCCATTGTGATACCTAATAAAATTTTATCTGGGAAGTCTTTCTCAACTTCATACCAATCAACATCCGGCGGTGGATATCCAACCACAAGACAATCAAATATTGCAGGCATTTTAACGAATACATGTTTGTTCTTGAGTTGTCTAATAAAGCCAGGTGGGAATGGCATAGCTCCACGTCCTTCCTCTTCTTCTCCTTCAACAACACGAGGTCGAATGACACTTAAGGAGCCTGTGGAGACAACCTCTCCAAGTGGATTTTTTGCAACAACTGAATAATCTCCGGCATCGTCTGGTTGAACATTTACAATTACCTGAAGAGAGTTAATTGTATAGAGGAATCGGTATAAGTTCCAACCAAATGATGAAGGCCTCGCTCATCTTGGAAAATACTTATCCTCGAGTCAGGTGCGCCAGCAGCTTCTGCCAAAGGTTTACCATCCTTAAGCCATTCAACACTTGGCGTAGGCACTCCCAGAACGGCAACTTGCCATTCGAGAGGGCTTCCTTGATGTATGCTTTGATTATGCAGACCACTAAAACTAAGTTTAAGTAAAGAACTTTAAGGAATCCTTACGGCCTAATTCTCGGCTTCTGGTCAGCTGGAGGGCCTGCAATATTTGATTGTCTTGTGGTTGGATATCCACCGCCGGATGTTGATTGGTATGAAGTTGAGAAAGACTTCCCAGATAAAATTTTATTAGGTATCACAATGGAAAAAAGATATGCCCCGGCCCTCGTCACAAGATCCAGGTTGCTGGTGGTGGTTCGCATGCCCTTCTAATACAAGATGTTTGTACTGAAGATGCGGGTGAATATGTCGCTATTGCGCGTAACTGTCATGGACAGGCACAAAGTTCTGCCATTTTGGATGTAACAGTTCCATTCATGGACAAGATTAAATTTGACGGTTCTGAAGACGTTACACCATATTTAACGGTCCGCTGGAATAGCAATGTTTACTAAAAAAGATTTTTATTTATAGGAAGAATACGGATTCAGAAGGCAAATGAAATCAATTCCAACACCCCCTGATAGAGGGCCTTTCATAAAGTGAGAAGCTTAAAGATTTGACTTATCCTTAATCTCTTATTATTGTAGAGAAGTTACTGGCCATTATTTAACCCTTTCCTGGATTCCAACAAAGAGAAGTCCTCCAAGATACCCTCAAGTTACATATGTTATCGAATTTCGTGAATTGCCTGATAAAGACTGGCAACTACTTGACTACAATATTCCAGAGCCTGTCTGCAAAGTTCGAAATCTTGAACTGGGAAAAAGCTACCAGTTTCGTGTTCGTGCCGAGAATATTTATGGAATTAGCGATCCATCTCCCCCATCACCCCCATCGAGGCTAATGGCAAGACCTCCACCAGTTTTAGACAAGTTCCGCCGAGTTATACCTCTTCTTGACCCTTACATGGAGCGAGCTTTAGATCAAGCACATGCTGAACAATATGCTTGCACTCCTTGGTGCTGAAAATTTTTTAAAGAAGTTTTATTGAAAATATTTTTAGGTTCGCGCCAGGCGTGAAAGAAAGACACTTCGTTGCAGAAACTGACCATCTTTCAATTACTTTACATTATGCAGGATATCCTGATCCAAAAATTACATGGAAACATAGAGGTTGGGATATTGATGCCTCCGGGCCAACCTCAAACATTCGGTGATTTTTTGCTTAAAAAATAATATTTCTGAATACTTCCAGTATTTCCTCACATGCTGGTGCTGAGACTACCATCACATTCCTAGGCTTTCAAAAGTCAAATGCTGGGCAATATACCTGTGTGGCTGAGAACCAGTATGGAAAAGCTGAACAAAATTTACTTGTTGATGTTGCTAGTGAGTTTAAGATAATGATAAGCTTTATCAGTTGAAACTTTTAGCCCGCCCAAAATTCACTCAACCTTTATCAAATCGGGATTACACTTCTGATAAGCCATTAAGGCTAAATGTTCGTGTAGAAGGCAATCCTGTGCCAGAGGTTAAATGGCTTAAGGTGCATAAATATTGGTTTTATCCCCCTAAATTTTAAATATTTGATCAAATATTGGTTTTATCCCCCTAAATTTTAAATATTTGATCAAAGGATTGGCGGCCAGTTGCCGAATCTTCACGCGTTCATCTGATTCAAGAAGATTCGAATTTGCGTACACTGCTTATTGATCAACCCATTTGGAGCGATTCCGGCATTTATACGTAAAATTTTTAAATAATTTATTCACGAAAAATAGGAGCCCTTGTCGCTATTGTACCCTTCATATTGTACTTCTCTAATGAGATTATTTGTTCCTGAGAAATCTTTAGATTTCTGGAGCCGAAAGCGATATCCAACTTTCTGGATATCCGGGTTCGACATCCTTAGAACTCCCAACCCTACTCTCTGATAAAGACAGCGTCCTATAGAAAAATAAACTAAATTTATTTACAGCTGTACTGCCTTCAACGACGCAGGTCAAGCAGTTACTTCTTGTACTATTACTGTAGAAGGTTATCCAAATATTTTTTAAAAATAAATTTAATCTACAGCTTCTTGAATATCATAAATATCTCGAAGAGGTCCGCGCTCCAATTTTATAGATTTTCGAAAGTCTTTTAGTTTGAAATCTTTCAAAAAGTCATTTTCGACTGTTAAATAAATTAAATTTATTTTTAAAAAATATTTGGATAACCTTCTACAGTAATAGTACAAGAAGTAACTGCTTGACCTGCGTCGTTGAAGGCAGTACAGCTGTAAATAAATTTAGTTTATTTTTCTATAGGACGCTGTCTTTATCAGAGAGTAGGGTTGGGAGTTCTAAGGATGTCGAACCCGGATATCCAGAAAGTTGGATATCGCTTTCGGCTCCAGAAATCTAAAGATTTCTCAGGAACAAATAATCTCATTAGAGAAGTACAATATGAAGGGTACAATAGCGACAAGGGCTCCTATTTTTCGTGAATAAATTATTTAAAAATTTTACGTATAAATGCCGGAATCGCTCCAAATGGGTTGATCAATAAGCAGTGTACGCAAATTCGAATCTTCTTGAATCAGATGAACGCGTGAAGATTCGGCAACTGGCCGCCAATCCTTTGATCAAATATTTAAAATTTAGGGGGATAAAACCAATATTTGATCAAATATTTAAAATTTAGGGGGATAAAACCAATATTTATGCACCTTAAGCCATTTAACCTCTGGCACAGGATTGCCTTCTACACGAACATTTAGCCTTAATGGCTTATCAGAAGTGTAATCCCGATTTGATAAAGGTTGAGTGAATTTTGGGCGGGCTAAAAGTTTCAACTGATAAAGCTTATCATTATCTTAAACTCACTAGCAACATCAACAAGTAAATTTTGTTCAGCTTTTCCATACTGGTTCTCAGCCACACAGGTATATTGCCCAGCATTTGACTTTTGAAAGCCTAGGAATGTGATGGTAGTCTCAGCACCAGCATGTGAGGAAATACTGGAAGTATTCAGAAATATTATTTTTTAAGCAAAAAATCACCGAATGTTTGAGGTTGGCCCGGAGGCATCAATATCCCAACCTCTATGTTTCCATGTAATTTTTGGATCAGGATATCCTGCATAATGTAAAGTAATTGAAAGATGGTCAGTTTCTGCAACGAAGTGTCTTTCTTTCACGCCTGGCGCGAACCTAAAAATATTTTCAATAAAACTTCTTTAAAAAATTTTCAGCACCAAGGAGTGCAAGCATATTGTTCAGCATGTGCTTGATCTAAAGCTCGCTCCATGTAAGGGTCAAGAAGAGGTATAACTCGGCGGAACTTGTCTAAAACTGGTGGAGGTCTTGCCATTAGCCTCGATGGGGGTGATGGGGGAGATGGATCGCTAATTCCATAAATATTCTCGGCACGAACACGAAACTGGTAGCTTTTTCCCAGTTCAAGATTTCGAACTTTGCAGACAGGCTCTGGAATATTGTAGTCAAGTAGTTGCCAGTCTTTATCAGGCAATTCACGAAATTCGATAACATATGTAACTTGAGGGTATCTTGGAGGACTTCTCTTTGTTGGAATCCAGGAAAGGGTTAAATAATGGCCAGTAACTTCTCTACAATAATAAGAGATTAAGGATAAGTCAAATCTTTAAGCTTCTCACTTTATGAAAGGCCCTCTATCAGGGGGTGTTGGAATTGATTTCATTTGCCTTCTGAATCCGTATTCTTCCTATAAATAAAAATCTTTTTTAGTAAACATTGCTATTCCAGCGGACCGTTAAATATGGTGTAACGTCTTCAGAACCGTCAAATTTAATCTTGTCCATGAATGGAACTGTTACATCCAAAATGGCAGAACTTTGTGCCTGTCCATGACAGTTACGCGCAATAGCGACATATTCACCCGCATCTTCAGTACAAACATCTTGTATTAGAAGGGCATGCGAACCACCACCAGCAACCTGGATCTTGTGACGAGGGCCGGGGCATATCTTTTTTCCATTGTGATACCTAATAAAATTTTATCTGGGAAGTCTTTCTCAACTTCATACCAATCAACATCCGGCGGTGGATATCCAACCACAAGACAATCAAATATTGCAGGCATTTTAACGAATACATGTTTGTTCTTGAGTTGTCTAATAAAGCCAGGTGGGAATGGCATAGCTCCACGTCCTTCCTCTTCTTCTCCTTCAACAACACGAGGTCGAATGACACTTAAGGAGCCTGTGGAGACAACCTCTCCAAGTGGATTTTTTGCAACAACTGAATAATCTCCGGCATCGTCTGGTTGAACATTTACAATTACCTGAAGAGAGTTAATTGTATAGAGGAATCGGTATAAGTTCCAACCAAATGATGAAGGCCTCGCTCATCTTGGAA